GTACCTAGTACTCTGATACCATAACACAGAAATTGGGAAAAACTGGAGTATATTTCATTACTTTCTAATACAAAGCAGCCTGACCTTTATAGGCTGAATACAATCAAATCAGAATCCAGTAAATTAAGGAATATACAATCAAATCCCTAAGATCAGAAAATAAAATAAGTCAACCTAAACTTTAATACACCAGTTATATTAGCCTGTAATTAGTACAAAATCAGACAGTTAATACTTTCCAAATTTATCTAACAATTACATAAATCACGTAATTCTCTAACACAAGGGAAACTGTACAAAGAAGTAATCAACTGCAGTACCAGTCTGTTCAACCTGTTTGTTCAAATGGTATCAACAATTCAAATGAGCTGAATGAAAACTTGCAAACCAACCCATTCTATCTCCTGGATTGTGACTCTTACCACTGTTCCAGAGACATTGGAAGAGTCCATTTCTGTCATGAAGAGGACTGAATGTCACAAGAATTTATAAAACTCCTCTAGGAAGCAAAAAAGCAAAAAGTTGTTTGAGGTAATGAGTCCATGGTTGACCTTTTAGAGGCTTGGAAAGCGTGTATAGTGGAGAGCTGAGTCACAGATGTTTGGAGGGCCACTCCCCTTTGTTTATGGTGGGGCTTGTTGTGCGAGAGAAATAGGAGACCCTTTGAGGGGGAGGAGCCTCCTATTTGGTCTCTCAAATATAATATACTCCTTTATTTTTCTGGGTCAATGGGGAGGAATTGTAAATTTATGGATGTTCTTTTGGATTTTGTGGATAGCTTAAAATTATAGTGTGTCACTTTTGTATTATTTTGGGAGTGCTCCCCTCTTTGAGCGTCTTTAATGAATTATTACTTATCAAAAAAAAAAATTCTTAATTCTGTTTGTCTTTTGGAAAGTCGAATAAAAGAGAACTCTTTTTTAACTAAGAAGCTCATTTTCAATTGGCAATGGATAGTAATCATAACTCTCACTACTTGGGTAGAATCATTGTGTAATGGAACCCTTTTTAGTATACTGTGCAACTTATCCATGAGAGTGATCAGTGCATTTTATTGAAAGTTTGCATTTGTCAGCTTCAGAAAACCATCTTCCTCTTTACATGTTGCAAACAGTTTTCAAGATAGGAGATCTCTATGGCTGACATCAACCAATATTCTACCCTGGTACACGAACCTTGGATGTCATTAGGTAATTGGAATGTTATAAGATACCAAGAAGACAAAAGAGGATGCCTCGAGGTTCCCCAATGTGTTCTATATGAATTTAATGGAGTGCATAACATTGCCAAACTGCTTGAAATGCCTATTATAAATAAAAATGTGGACTTGTTGCAATAGATGCACAACAGAAGGAGGATATATACTAAAGTTGGACAGATGCTTTCTTAGTGAGGAGTGGCTACAAGAATTCCCTCATTCCCAACTTGCTTATCCACTGCACAACTAAGACCATTATGTTCTGTTCACTATTAAAAGGACTGGCCGAACCCCAAACCTTTTAAAATCCTCTAATTTTGGTGCAAGCAAGAAGGTTTTGCGGATATTGTGAGCAGGGCTTGGAACATCTCTACTGTGGGTAACCCCATGCACCAACTTTCCAAGAAGCTTCAGTGATTAATTTCTTTAAAGAGATCCTGAAAATGAAGAGTTAATGCAAGGTGAGACTCAAGCTAGATTGAAAATTGTTGGCCTCATTGTTGATATGTTATCGGATTAGCTTTGAAAAGAATTGAAAATATCATTTATGTATTACTCAATTAATTTTATTCTATTAGAGCCCATTTATTTGGGCCACGGATGATGTAACTATGGAAGTAGCTTGCATTCTTTATTGGGTGGAAACCAAACCATGAGATAAGGTTTATTATTTTTTTATTTTTTTATTTTTTTCTGGCTGATATAGTGTTTGGTGAAAATCTCCTTTAAAGTCCCAAGTTGTTGACTTCCTTGGATATATGAGAAACAATTAACTATTAAGAAAAAGAATATGCATGACTAGTCGGAGAATGAAGATGAAACAAGATAGAAGGACTTACATTATTTCTACTCTTAAACATTAGAACTATCTAGTTAAATTTGCATGTGGAGAGTGACCATTATGATGAGCCGCTTAACCTTTTGGATGATATCTGTCTATTATACCTAGTGGATCCAGAGTAACTTTGTCAAATGTTGGTAAACCAAACTCTGAAGGTTGTTTGGGAATTAAAACTTTAGCTAATTAGAATAAAGCTAGTATGAGTAAGTATCTATGTAGGCTTTGCAATCCTCGTTACTTTTACATCTAGGAATCTTGGGCCAAAACCAATGTTCTAAATGGTAGATGCAGTTGGGATGTTAAACCTCTCAAGGACTACTCTTGGATATGGAGGAAACTTTTGCAAATTAGAAGCACATTCAGACCTTGTATTGTGCACATTGTTGGTGATGGTAGTCAATCTTTTTGTGGTTTATTTACTGGTTTTATTTTTGTTTTATTCAACAACTATATGGGGATAGAGTGATACATGGTTCTGGTTTATCCAGAAATGCAAAGGTGAAAGATATTTTTAGGAATGATCATTGGATTTGGCCAGTGTCTCTTCCAAGATCTTCTCAACTGTTCTACTTAATTAACAATCTTCCTGCTCCATCTAGTTTTAATCTTCTTCAGTCTACTGTCAGATGGTTCCCTTATTCAAGGTCTTTGTCGACCTCCTGTCCTTGAACTTTTCTGAATCCTACTCAAGCTATAAGGTCAATTGGGCTAATCTTCTCTGGTTTTCTAGTGATATGCCCGGATTCAACATCTTTATCTCTTCTATGAGCTTCCTTTTCTGGAAGACCATGATCATCCATTCTTCAATTGTCCTTTTCTTTTTAGATTTGGACTTCCCTTTTCATAAATGTGGAATTCACTTTTCTCAGCTGCATCTTGATACCCGGGACAGCATCATTACTTGGGCTTCGTGATCCTTAGGAAATCTCTTAAAGCTACCCTCTCGAAGATGATTTTGTTTTTACCAGTGTGTTATGCTCGAGAGAAATTGAAGGCAATTTTTCAAGAATATGTGGGTCTTAATACTGTTAGTGCCAAGAATTTTAATGCTGTCAGATTTCAAGCTTCATCTCTTCCGAGATTTCTTTCTTTTTCTGCTAATAAGTATCTCCAAGGAGTTTGGAATCTTCTGGAATCTATATTCAGTTGATTCTCTTGTTCAGCTGAATTTGTTATATCTCTGCTTTAGATAGATGGTGTTGTTTCCTGGGTAGTCATTCTTCTAGATTGATGGTGTTGTTTTCTGGTAGTCATCCTTCTGACTTGGATAGTTTTGCTATTTTCTGCCTTTGCTAAGCTTACGCCATTGGTTTCTTGAGATGCTGCTGAATTAGGTTCTGGAGCGCCTTAAGATTTGTTGGCTAATGTTTGGATTTTATATGTTCCTCGTTATCCTGCTATATGTTGTGCGGAGTATTTTTTTTGCATTTACTATTTTACCATTGTTGCTTTGTTACTATAGTTAGCTCTGTGTTCTTGTTTGTACTATTGGTCTAGTTGAACTGTTTTGTTGGCTTGCTAGCCTTTTGTTTGGTTTGTTTTCTTTATATGGTTGGCTTAGCCTGACATTGTCATCTTAAAATTACTTATAAAAAAAAAAAAAAAAAAAAAAAAAACGATGTCATCTTAAAAAGCTTATCTACCCACAAAAAAAAAAAAAAAAAAAAAAATCTAGAATCAATAATTACTTTGTGCATTCCACTAACAATTAATATTGAAAGTTCACTAGGTTTCCCCTCTTGTCATCTGCTGAAATGCTTATAGCATACAAGAAATTTCAGCCTTTTCCTTTCATATATCAATAGTAAGTATCCCACACTTCATTATCAACTACAGTAATTTAAACAGAAACCAAAACTCTAGTCATCAAGGATAATATGCCAACGCATATGCATGCATGTTGTAATTATTGTTGTTTTCTTTTTTCTTTATTTAATTTGTTTTTTATTGCAAGATATGAGAATGTGTGAAATGCCTAGTTTCAATAAAAAAAAATCCTCGATTTCGATTTAATTTGGTTATAAAAGTTTATTTGAAATTTGAACGGGGAAGATATCTTTTATGTCAGATTGATTTTCCTATCCTATCTACCTTCATTGACAAGTGCCTAGTTGACAACAACCAAAAAAAAAAAAAAAAAAAAAGAAAAGAAAAAGAAAAGAAGAAAAGTTTCTTTGAAATTTGAATGGGGAATATATCTTTTCTGTCAGAATGATTCTCCTATCTACCTTCATTGAAACGTATCAAGTCGACACGAGTCACACGGCGTATGGACGGGCGACTCAATGCATTGGCCGATTGAAGGTGATGCAGGAGCATCTACGAGGCTCTCCAAGACTAATCAGCCCCCCTAGCCAACTAAGCTTGGGTTCTATTTGTCTTTGGGTTTTAGTTATTTGCTTATTTTCTATGTGTCTTATTTGATTTTTATGTTTTATGTTATTTGGTAGATGATAGTTATGGTCCTAGTCTTTTTAAATAGTCATGAGTTTGTAAGTACTTTGGAGGGTTAAGTTTTATTATTTATTGACGTAATCAAGGGCTAGGATGCTGTTTGGGATTGCTTCTCTACCATTAAAAAACACTTTTATTTTAAAAAACTTCGGTGAGATTCGTTTGGTGACAAAAATAAGTGAGGTTAGATAGTAGAGGTTTCATAAAAAAAGCGCGTTCACTTGAAGTTACAAATAGTAGCTTTTAAAATTTTGTTTTAAGTAGACGTAGATTTTTTATGGTAATTATATTGTTTTAGACAATTTAATCCCTCTTTACTTTTTATATCTTTTTATAGGTTGGTTATTCATTTGATACTCCTTGTATTTTTTTACTTGTCCATTTTTAGTTGAACTAGAGTTTCTGTATGATATATATGTGATTTTATGAGAATCCATGTCTTGATTTTCATGTGTCTTTTGCTCTCTGTTTCTTTGATTGTCTTTGATTAAACAATCTTTTGGTTAGCGTTCGTGAATCATTGATTGAAACCTTTGGAGCCACGAGAGAACGATCAGTGGCAAAAGCAAAAAGATACAGACTGGATTTGAGTTCTAGCTCAAGGAGCATTGAGGCATCCAATTGTATCGCTGATCGTTTCTTCTCAGATTTCTTGGATTGCCTCAAGTCCACTTGGACTCTAGAAACACCAATTCATGACAAGGCCTTGAAGATGCTCAAGGATCCATACTGGAGGGAAAGATTACGCGGTGTGCTTTACGAAAGTGAAAGGTATTATTTGGGGATCCTTAATTTATAGCTCTGGGTTCTATAATGTTGGAATTCTGTCATGTTCAGGTAGTAAGTATAACAGCTTTGCTTGATGATGGCACGATTTTTTATTGCTTTTCATGTTATATTGGTAATACTTGAACTAATGGTGACTGTTCCCCATTCAAACTCTTTTTTTTTTTTTCCCTAGCTAAGAAAAGAAAATTGTTAAATGGAGTTTATATATTTATCCATATCATGTTCTCATTTTCTGCTCGTGTTTTTTCTAATTGTTATTCAAAAGATATTGCTACTATGTGAATGCTTTGAAATGCTCATTTCGCTTATTAAGTTGTATATGTCTTGTTATTTTGTAATGCCCAAGGACTTCCTATAAGCAGCTCATATGCAGGATTTGGTGTAAAAAAGAGTAGTAGAGATGCTGGATGTGTTTTTCTTTTTTCTTTCTTTCTTTTGTTTTTTCTTTCTTTCTTTCTTCTTCTTCTTTCCTTTTCCCTTTTTTTTTTTTTTTATTTTTTTTTTATTTTAATATGTTATGATGTGAAAGTAGGTTAGAATTAGGCAAAAATGGAATCTCAGCATTTTATGTTCTTGAAAAAACGCTTCAAAGATTGACCTGGCTATAGTTGATTAAACCCATAGTTGCTTCAAAATCTTTGTTTTCTCTAGCACTTGACTTCAGAAAGCATACAATTACATAGTGTATTAGGCTGGCTATTTTAATGCTGCTTTAGAAAACATAATCTCAGTAGTAGATCAATATTGTTATGTTTGGTTGAAAGGATTGAGGAAGTTGGACGTAAGGGAAGAGAGGGGGGAAGCAAAGAGAGATGGAACATCCCTCCTGGTCCATGTTTTTGGAAAGTTTTTTTATCCGTCCAAAATTGGGCAGAGAGAAAGAAAAGTTACCCTATAAATGTAATACCAATTTTAACCTTTAATTACTTAAAAAATCACTTGTTAAACCCTACTGAAATTATGTCTCACGTATAATAAGGGTATATTGGTAAAAAAATATAAAAACTCTCATTCCCTTCCTTCCAACCAAACAAAAAAAAAGGTGCCACCTAATTCATCCTTTCTACTATCCCTTCCATTCAAGCAAACAAAAAGTATGTGAGACAACTTTTCTTCCCTAGGGATGCCTCATCCATCCCTTCCCCTCCCCCTTTTATTCATTTTTCCATTCCTCCAACCAAATGAAGCATAAGTGTATCTTATTTGGTCATGAATCATTGCAAATATAAAAAGTGTTCAAGCTTACGAACACCAGAACAATGAAAACTATTTTCCTTCTAATTCACTTTGGCAGGCTACTTTCTTGGAAAACTACTCAATTTTGACACTACTTTCCATATGGAGTGTATCATATATGGATAAGTATTTTCAAGGGTGTTGGGAGGGGTGATTTATGGGATTAATTGTAGTAATCCTTCATCGGTGTAGTTTTCATATTTATCACTTGTATTCTTTCACCTATAAATAGAGGTGGTCGTTGTAAACAAAACTAAGGGAGAATATAATAAGAAGTGATGTTGCCCATTAGGCTTTGTGAGCGACCGTAGTGGTCAAACCACTTATATATCCTTGTGCTGTTTCATTCTTAATGTCTCTCTCCAATCTTTTGTTTTTTCAACATGGTATTAGAGCAGGTTTATCATACCATACTAGACTCGTTCGGCTCTCATCCGTCAAAACCCTAGTTTCCTTACAAGTTAGGTCATTCAAGTGAAACCCTAGTTTACTTACAAGCTAGGGACACTAACCAAAAGCTTCAAGTCTATTCACGCTTTAACCCTTAGGCTCAAGTACATCCACATCTTCTTTTGTTGGGTTCTTGGAAGAAATTGTAAATCTTTGGAGGAGCTTGTTGATCATTTGTACTCTTTGATGGTTTAGGGACCCTATTTGGCCTTGTGTAGTTTTTGAGGGATGCTTTCCCCTTTTGAACACTTTTTATACAATCTTTACTTATCAAAAAAAAAAAAAATGTACATCCACATTAGGGATGGCAACGGAGGCGGGTTTGGGCGGGTGTACCCTCCCGCACCCCCGTAACCATTTAAAAACCCTTCCCCCTATTTGCAGGAAAGAAGAAACAAGATGAAAAATAATCTATATATATCTTTTAGAGGATAGGATACAACCTATTTATAACACACTCTTAAACAGCTAGCTATACAAAGTCAATGACAACTATACAATCCTGAATTAATTTCTAGAGATCCTACCTACCACACAAAATAAGGAAACTAATTAACTAATTAAAAGATACAAACAAATAGTCAATACACGATAACTACAGCTCAGTAATACAGCTGTAATGCCAATTAGTGAATAATTCTGCTGTAATTCTAACACTCCCCCTCAAGCTGGTGAGTAGATGTCAACCATTCCCAGCTTGCTTCTTAAATCTTCAAAGAGTACCGTTGTAACTCCTTTTCTGAGTATATCAGCCAATTGCTGATGAGTTGTTACGAACAGAGTAGTAATCTGTCCACTTTCAATTTTCTCTTTGATGAAGTGTCTGTCCACTTCGACATGCTTAGTGCGGTCATGTTGAACGGGGTTGTGAGCTATACTTATTGCAGCTTTATTATCACAAAACACTTTCATAGGAGATGTAGATTCTAGTTTAAGTTCTTTAAACAACTTATGTATCCATAGAATCTCACAAATTCCCAAAGCCATAGCTTTGTATTCTGCTTCTGCATTGGACCTAGCAACTACATTTTGCTTCTTGCTCCTCCAAGTAACCAGATTGCCTCCTACAAAAGTACAATAACCTGTTGTAGATCTCTTATTAGTGATTGAACCAGCCCAATCGGCATCTGTGTAAACTTCCACTAGAAGATGTTCAGATTTTTTAAATAGAAGTCCTCTGCCTGGTGTAGCCTTTAGATACCTCAAAATTCTTTGAACAACTTCCATATGACACTCCAAGGGAGAGTGCGTAAATTGACTTACAACCCCTACAACATAGGCAATGTCTGGTCTTGTGTGGGATAGATAAATCAGTGTCCCGACGAGCCTTTGATATCTCCCCTTGTCAACTGGATTTTCTTCACTGTTAAGTCCTAATCTATGATTCGGATCAATTGGAGTCATTGCTGGTTTACTTCCTAAAGATCTCGTTTCCTTAAGCAAGTCAAGAATGTATTTTCTCTAAGAAACATACTATCCTTTGACCTTGCTACTTCCATACCTAGGAAATATATTCAAATTCTTTTGCAAGTTGAATCTTCATATCTTTAATTTCTTCGAAGTTGTCCTCTGTCACAATAATATCATCAACGTAGACAATGAGAATTGTAATCTTCTGATGAGTAGAATGCTTGAAGAATAACGTATGATCTCCTTGACTCTGTAAGAAGCCACACTTTATGAGAAACTTTGAGAATCTTTCGAACCAAGCTCTAGGAGACTGCTTTAGCCCATATAAAGATTCTTTTTAACCTGCAAACCTTCCCATCGTTTGAATCTCCGAAACCAGGAGGTAAATCCATATAAACCTCTTCTTCTAGATTACCATGAAGAAACGCATTGTTTACATCAAATTGATGTAAAGGCCAATCTAAATTGATAGCAAAAGAAAACAAAATTCTTACTGAGTTCATTTTCGCAATAGGGGCAAATGTTTCTTGATAGTCTAAGCCATAGGTTTAAGTGAACCCTTTGGCAACGAGTCTCGCCTTGTATCTTTCTATTGACCCATCTGATTTATACTTCACCGTGAAAACCCACTTGCATCCCACAGGCTTCTTTCCTTTAGGCAGATTTACAATTTCCCAAGTTTCATTTTTCTGTAAAGCTTTTATTTCCTCAAGAACTGCTCCTCTCCGCTTCAGGTCTTTTAGAGCTTCAGAAATATTAGCAGGAATATTTTATGTAGAAATTTGAGAAATAAAAGCCTGAAAGGAGTGGTTAATTTGATGATAAGATAAAAAATTGGAAATTGGATGTTTGGTGGTACATGACCTCACCCCTTTTCGGATAGCTGTGGGAATATCTAAATCTGTATCTACCTGTGGCAAAGAAGGATTAGGTGAACTACCTGACCTAGGACTCACCGGGTGCTCATTTTCCAACTCCGGAGTTGAAGATTGATTGCGGGTGAGAGTGTCGGGCTGTATAGTCTGACCAGATTTTCTTCATGAGTACACAAGTGGAGTGTTTGATTGAAACACAGTTCTGTTCTCCTCTGGATTTTTAACTTGAAGATCCTCCCTTAGAATCGGTTGTTCTGGTAGAGTACTAGGAACAGAATCAAGATTTATTAAGAGATCATAGGAAAGATCTTCCTTGGCATCACTAATCTCCCCCTGAAGATCGGACCTAGGATAGTAAGAGAGATTTTCAAAAAAATTGACATCCATTGTGACAATGTATTTCCTCATTGGAGGATGAAAACATTACTGCCTTTTTTGTTTGGGGAGTGTTAGAATGTTATATATATATATATATATATATATATGTGTGTGTGTGTGTTGGGTCATTATGTAATTACATATAGTTGGTAGGGCCCTTGTGTTATTAAGTAAGACATGTATCTTTATATAAGCCTACGTAGGCTTATTAGGTTTTTTGTGAAATATATATACAACAATGTCTACTCTCTCTCTCTCTCTCTCATGATTTACAACATGGTATCAGAGCTACACGAATTCATGGGTGTGAGAGTCTGTAATTGTGTTGTTCTTGTGTAAGATCGGAATCACGATTGCGGTGTTGGTGTCTCTGCCTCGTTCGTCGTCGCCAGCAGCTCATCATTTCCCATCGTCAAATCTGAAGCCTCGTTCATCGTCGTCAGATCTGAAGCTTGTTCGTCGTCGTCTCTGCCTCGTTCGTTGTCACCAGCAACTCCTCTTTGGTTGTCAGCGAGCTCGCCGACATCTTCTGGCTTGATTTACAGAGGTGAGGTTCATCGATTCGCGTTTTTTTTTTGGCCGAAAGTTGCAGAGGTCGCTGCCTATTGATTCGGCTATTGCTTGTGACTGGGT